CCCCAAAACCCCAAAACCCCAAAACCCCAAAACCCCATATCTCATAAAATACATATATATTTAAACTAAATAACTTGTTATGGATATCGAAGAGCCTAAGAAAGTCAGACTTTATCCACAGGTAGGGTCTTAAGACTGAAATGTAGGAGAATGGAGTCCATGCAATCAGACCAAGAAAGTATCATCTGAGAATCATGCCAAAGATCAATGAAATACTCAGATTCTCAGCTATTTTGAGAATGGAAATTGAAGTTAGCCAAGATGGACTTGATGAAGTTTATATTCATTCCAAGAATCTGCAATATAGTTCTATTAAGTTGTTAACTTCTGACGGAGGTAAGAAATTAGCCAAACCTCTAAAATAAAGGATATTAAAGATTTCTTCCTATTTTCTGGCCAAATCCTATCCTAAATATCTGAAATATCTTTAGAAATCCCTGGAGAAATATTCGAAGCAGATGATTATGAGAAGTTTACCTATAAATGTTCTTTCTTCACTAGCGAAGCTGGTGAAAGGTACATTTTTGAGAAAGGATCTTACACAATTCTGTTCGAATATGAAGGAGATATAGTAGAGAAAGATTCAGGATTTTATGCTTGAGTAGATCCAAGATTTACCAAGAAGCATTTTAACTCCCAATCGTAAGACAATCTTACCAATATAGAATGACATTCACCAGGGCATACATAGAATGTAAGCCTCTAGATTATCTTTAGGTGAAAGTAATGAAGAGCTGAAGGAATCTTTGATAGAGAATTCTGTGGTTTGCAGCACTCTTGAACCGGTAGAATGCAGATCTATCATGCCTTGATTCGATGAGCCTGTGCATAAAGCTATCTTTAGTGTTGAAGTCATGGTGTATAACAAGCATCATATTGCTATTTCAAACTCTCCAGTGGCACAAATTGAAGAAATAGAGGAAGGAAGGTTGTACAAATTTGAAGATACTCCTTTAATGTCAACATATCTTCTCTGCATCATAGTGGGAAAATTTGATTATCTCGAAGACACTATCGAAGATAGAATAAGTACAAGGGTGTATACCCCTTCTGGCCTTGCTGAATTGGGAAGGTTCTTTCTAGAGATGGCAACCAAGGCTCTCCGCTTCTACGAAGATTATTTTGATATAAAATATCCATTGAAAAAGTTAGACTTAGTTTCACTTCACTCAATGCATGTGAGAGCAATGGAGAATTGGGGATGTATAACCTTTTTCTGTGAAAACTTCCTCATGGACTTACAATCAGAATCTTCAAAAACTGTAATCCGAAGCTCCAGGACCATATGCCATGAGATATCTCACATGTGGTTCGGCAATCTGGTCACCATGGAATGGTGGACAGATATTTGGCTTAACGAGGGATTTGCAAGATTTATGGAGTTCCTTGCACTTGATGAGATCCATCCTGAATTCCATGTATGGGATCAGTTTATAAATGATGTCTTTACTAGTGGGATTTCTCAAGACAGAGGTTATAGGTCTCACCCAATTGAAATCAACTGCAAAAGTCCAGATGATATTGATAGTATATTTGATTCTATAAGTTACGCTAAGGGATCAGCAATTATTAGAATGATTAATGCTGTTATGGGTGAGAAGAATTTCCAACAATGAATCTCGAAATACCTCAGTTTGTATAAATACAAGTAAACAAATCTGTCTGATTGTATAGAAATACCCGTACTAAGGATCTCTGGAAGGTGCTTGAAGATGGATCAAGTGGCTCAGATGGTCAGACATCTCAAGATAGCAAAGTAGATGTCTCATTTATGGATCAGTGGACTAAGACTAAAGGATTCCCTATAATCTCCATTATCAGAGAAATATCAGATGAAAATTCTCAAAAATTTACAGTTATTCAGAAATCCTGTCACAGAAATGACATAGAAAATCTTTGGAAAATACCTTTGAATTATATAACATCTTCAGGGATAACAGGAGACTTAATCTTGACAGAAAGGATGGAGGTGATAACTTTACCTATCCCAGAATCAGACATTATAAAATTCAACCATAACTCAACAACTTTTTGTTTGATTGATTATGATCCTGATTACCAAGAAAGTCTTCTAAATGCTTCGGCAACCTTATCAATTCACAATAGGCTTGGGCTGATTGAGGAATTGTCCCTGATCTACAAGTAAGTCTTATTTGTTATTTTTTAGACAAAAAGATAGATCTTCTCTGAACAAGTATTGAGTGGAAATGCTCAAGAGCATTTATGAAACCTCCTTCAGCGAGCAGGCTTCTAATTACTATCTTTATAACAGCTTATGCTCCATGCTTGGAGTTAGCCTATTAAACGATTACATACCCTTGATTGCCCTCCAGAATAACGAATCAAAGTAAGATTTATCTCAAGATTTCTAGTGAGAGTTTTAATTCTCAAATCCATATTGAGAAAAGACTAAATTTCTTCCAGAAACACTTTGCAGAATTGTTCCATTCTTGTGATGGATTCAATACTAATGAGACAGAGTATCTCAAGTGCCAGCTCATTGGAACTCTGGCACCTTGGCTGCTGTTCATTACAAAAGATCAAACTGCTATTGATCAATGAAAAGAGATTTTACTTAGAGTAATTGAGAAAATAGTGACTAGTGACCCTTCAAAATATGTTAATGAATTTATCACATCGATCCAAAGTGATATAAGACCTTGTGTCTATATCGGTGGCATTCTCTCTAAAGATGAGACTATAGAAAAAGCTCTAATTAGTTACTACAAGAACCACAGGGAAACCTTAATGGATAAGGGATATTTCACTGAGCTGAACAGCCTTTGCATAGCTCTTTTATTTTGTTCAGGCCAAGAATCTCTTAAGATAAGTAAGCCCCAGCCTAATCCCATAGGGTCTTCTGTAATTAAAGATGTTGATATAAATGAAGCAAGCCTGATTGTAAAGCTCCATCTAAAATCTAGACATACATACATATTTCAAAGCATATTCTGAACGATTTTGTAGATAAAACTTTCAGACACGAAGCCACTTTCAAAGATATTGAGATACAAACCAGAAATTTCCTTGTAGTCTCGAACAAACTCAATGTTAACTTCTCCTACACTCCAGAACCCTTGGAATATTTCACCCAAATTACTGATAAATATCAAGAAAGAAAAGAGGAAATTGATGAAAAAGTTGAATTCTCTCTTGAAGGCACCCAGCAGCTGTGCTATGGTAAGTCTCTCATCTAAGGGTTATATAAGGATATTTCGTAACTGAGTGAAACCTATTGTCTAATAACTCTATAGACCTATCAAATGCTAATGCACAGAGAAAGTATAACTCAGAAAGAGCCATGCCTGAAATAATAGAGTTGAGTGACTTTATTGAATAAACCATTTCAACTAATATGAAGCTGTTTGGGGTTTTGGGGTTTTGGGGTTTTGGGGTTTTGGGG